GATTTGGTCATCCCATATGTAGCTGGTGTGGTCAAGAAACTCAGAAGGATTTTTAAAAAGAACATCACATTCCCGTCGGCTTTAAACCAAGCAATACACTGAGGCTACAACTTTTTTTTTTTTAAGCCCGTGGACGTGCATCTAAACAAACTTCCCCCGGTGAACAAAAAAAGTGAACCGTGAAATCACAGCACACAAAAACGTGCACAAGGGTGCAAGGTCCTTCAATCAAGACCCATTTCCTTACACCCCGGGGCGCAAGGCTCCTGACAGGGGTTGAGACTATTGGTCCACCAACCCAAAGGCCGGTGGACCCATTTCCTTTGGGGACCAGCCGAAACAGGTCCCCCATAGTACTTGGCAAGTGGGCTCTCCCGAAGAGAGACCCACCTCCTGGGTGGGAGGAGACAGAACCCCATAGAGGGCACAGAATGTCCTCCCAGCATCAGGAATAGGCCCCGAAGGAACCTGCACCTTCAGCAATCTGTGGGTAAAATTTCAATCAAAAAGTCAATCGTGCATCGTGCATAGAGTGCAATATACTGAGGCAACAACTGGTTCACCCAAAAGACCCAACGCCAAAACACAAGATGAACAACATTGTGTATGCAGTCCAGTGCAGTGAGGAGTGCTCAGAATTGTATGTCGGTGAAACAGCAGCTACACTAGCGTATGGCACAGCATAGAAGAGCCAAACCCTCTGGTCAGGATTCGGCAGTGTACCTACATTTAAAAGGAAAAGTTCACTCCTTTGAAGACAGTCAAGTACGCATCCTAGACAGGGAGGAGGACTGGTTTAAAAGAGGTGTGAAAGAGGCCATTTATGCAAAAATGGAGAAGCCAAGCTTGAATAGTGGTGGGGGTGGGGGGTGAGACATCTATTGTCTGCCACATACAATGCGGTTTTAACACCTCTCTCTGGGCAGGTTAATAACACCTCCTAGACTCCAATTATGCAAATGCAACCAATGCCTGGTTGTGACTAACAAATTATGTGGATTGGAGTGACATTTATTCCCAGAGAATTTTTGTAGTCATTCTGAATTGAGAAAGCTTGATGGATTTCCAGTGAAACGTCTTCAAGAAAAATATAGCAAGTCCAGTTGCCTTGACTTATTTTTTACAGATATACCATGACCTGGATGACTGAGAACCTTAACAGACATGTGTCGTAAAGTTTGTTTTTTTACCTGGAGATCACACCAGTCAGCACTTCCTGTTGTAGACTGACAACGCTGAGCCACTGCCTCGCAAGTACTAGTGCTGTTGTCAGCCCTGTGGCAGTTGGGCATCAGATCTACAGGAGTCAAGCACTGACCTGATAGGCGGCCCAACGGCCAACGGAAGGAGTGCACACGCTGGGTTGACAACGCTGCTGCCAATTGCAAGGCAGCGACTTAGCATTGTCAACCTGAAAACATGAACTTCTTTTATTGGAAGGATCTCCAGGTTACAGTAGATTCTCCAAAAAACATTTGCTTAATGAAAATGTATACAGTCAGATATGGTAGCAAACACACCCAAGATTTTGGGTTTGAATACGTTTTAAGATTAACACCGAAAATTCAACATATTCTAAACAAAAATAGCGTTTTGGTAAAAATATTTTGTCACAAAGTAACAGAATTCAAAAATGGGGCAGGGTTCCTTGAACACCTTGGTTCTCAACTGGTGGGTCACAAATCAAAAGTGGGTCACAACCCCATGTTCATTGGGTCGCAGCATTCCTTTCACTTTTCCAGGCCCCCCTGCCACCCCCTAGCGCAGCACTGTCATTTCCCGCACCAAGCAGCCATTTAAAGTATGCTGCCCAGGTGCTGAGTGCCCGCTTGAGGTGGGATGGGCTGGAGGTATGGCCACGAGGGAGCTCCATCCATACGCACATTGCTTACAGCTCCCTCACGTGTCCCGTAGAGATGCCTGGACCTGAGTGACGTCACATTCTGGCTCCCGGCACCTCTACAGGGCGCGCAATGGAGCTATAGAAGCAATGCACATATGGATGGAGCTCGGTCATAGCACAGTAGCCCACACCGGACCCCAGGCTGAGGATCCACTCCAGTTCTCGCAAGGTAGGGAGACTGGGTGGATCTTAAACACATTTTTTAGGAGTGTGTGTGAGAATGTCTGTGTGTGTGTGTGTGTGTGTGTGTGTGTGTGTGTGTGTGTGTGTGAGAATGTCTCTGTGTGTGTGTGTGTGTGTGTGTGTGTGTGTCAGTGTTTTGAGGGCCCGTTCACACTAGTACAGTGCGTTAAAAATTGTACTACGCAATCGCACCTACAATGCATTTATTTGAATGGTACCCCAAACACACCTCCCAGCCCCAGTTCGTAGGCCCGCACCGGAATGCAAGATACCTTGCGTTCCATTCCAGTGTGACTTGGGTCGTGACTTAATGACCAAGGACAAATGTGGGTCCTGAGGTTACACAGGTTGAGAACCACTGCTTTAACAGATACCCCACCATTAGATGGAGGCGTTATTACACAATCTTATCAAAAATATCATGTAAGTATCAAAAAGTTCAATCTAATTGCCTTTTTGTTCCTCAAGCTGCCAGTGCCCACTCAGAGAAAAAAAGAGAGAACATGACGCATAGAGAAGAGACTTTCTGAAGGATATTAAAAAGGGAAGGTACGTACGTCAGTGAAAGACTTCAGTTCCGTTTTCATAAAAGCCTCGAACTCGGAGTAATCCATCTGATCTTTCTCGCCTTTCTTGCCGGCGTAGTGTTGGAAGACCCGGACGATGCTTTCCATGGCACATTCCATGTCTGTTGGTTTTGTAGCAGAGACGGGGTTCTGTGGGAAAGGCACGGTACAGCAATTAAAATTTGGATTCAGATGTTCTCAAGAGTGCCCACCAAGGCCATAATTGCGGAGATGGTAGCCAATATACACTATATGGATGAAAGTATGTGGATCCCCTCCCAATTATTAAGTTCATGAGTCCCTACTGAAGGATATTGTTAAAGTCTTTGCTAACATACATAGACACTGTAGACAATTTTAGGCTTCAAACCTTGTGGTAACGGTTTGATGAAGACCCCTTTCTGTTCTAGCAACACTGTCCCGGTGCACAAAGCCAGCTCCAAAAAGACATGGTTTGACCAGTTTGGTGTGGAGGAATTAGAGTGTCCCGACCTCAAACCCTACTCAACACCTTAGGGATGAATTGGAACGCTGATGGTAAGCTCTCCGGCTAATCAGGAAGCCGGGCGACGAGTCATTACACGCCACCCGGCTTCCTTACTGGAACGTCCGGTATTGGTATTTGTTATATATATATATATTCCATGCCGAAAAAACAGTATCGGTGCATCCCTACCATATGCTAAAATGCCCAAATTCATCATCTCCTTAGTTACTGAAGGGTTCATGTATATGCTGATGAAGCCCCATATCCGAGGCAGTTCCAAAACATGGGCACTTATCATTTAGATTTAGACCCCCCTTAAAATAAAGCTGGCAATTTCTACATTGATACCCCCAGAAGAGAATGGGAGAGGCATCTCCCAATACAATTTGCTAAAATACTTGCCATGTTAAAGCCGGCATGGACAGAATTTTTGCAATTAAATCTGCAGTTCTGCTTTAATTCCAGCTACTGGCTGTCCCTTTAAGTTTTCTACATTGTACACTCAGGCTGCTGACTTTTGCAGAGTTTCTCATGACACATCCGGCGTTATCTGCCAGATCTGCAAACCAGGATGTGTCATGGTATAAACACAAAATTATTGCCAAGCAACACGTCTAAACTGTGAACAGGGCACAGTTGGGATAGGTTAGGCGGAATAGGCAAGTAGGTTACCTTATTTGATGGTGGGCACTTCATCAAGGCCTCATGGCAGGCCACCATCATCCCTCCGATAAGGTTGAGAAACTCTTGAAAGTCGATCTCTCCGTCCTTCTTCCCATCGACCCCACCATCTACAGACTTCATTAACTTCTGCAGGATCTGTGGGTCCTTCTGGTTCTAGGGGGAAAGATGACAAAGATGGTTTAGGTGGGAGAAAAAAAAAAGAATACTTGCCATCAAAAAAACATTGGTTAACCAATTCAACCCAGAAGACAAGAAAACAAATATTATCAATCATGGATGCTTATCAATCAAGGATTCCAACCACAGACTTGTTCTGGATTTTGATCCTTCAATCCAAGTAGACCTTTATCAAACATCATGGTGCAAGCCACATTGGTGTGAAGAACTTCCAAGATAGACATGTTTCTCATGCCTAATATTTCTATGAACCACCACTATGTATGTGTAGCCCCTTTGTGGCCAGTGGTGCATGCTGGGGAGGAGCATAAATACTCAGGAACTGCCATGTCCTCAGGGCAGTCTGCTCCCTGAACTTAGCCTGGGGGGGTAGGATATGCAAAGTTGGAGAAGCTGACTAGGCCTCAAGCCTGCAAGAAGCCGATGTGGACCTAGGAGGGGTCTGGAACTATCTGGGAAGGAGAACCAGGAGGAGCCCTTTGAGTGCTGGAGGTGCCAGGAAGGTCAGGATGGCATGGACCTCAGGAACCAGTTTGCAGTCTCTCCCAGGGAAGATCTCAAGCACATCCTCTATCCAGCTATGGTTCTGTTACATCGTGTCATCCTCTGCTCAACTAGTGGATTCCTGCTCTGTGGAAGCTGAAAGGGATTGGTGAGTCTGGAGTCTATATTGGCCATGCATGTCTCTCCCAGTTTTGACAGGTTTGGGTTTCGGAACCAGCTTAAATCCTTACAGGAAATGAGCCAGAGCTCATCTCCACTAAGGAAGAGTGCAAACGATCCACCAGCTGAAGGAAGAGATGATCATCTGCTGCATTGGGAAGGGGTTGGTGGTTACTAACAGATGCAACCAGCACAACATTTCAAGGGATGCACCTCATGACCATTGGCTCATTGGCTCACCCCATTCAACAATGGCAGAGAAGATCAATAAAAGATCAAAAACATAGTTGACCGCTCACCTTGGTGAAAGAGCCCAGCTCAGTGTTCATGAAGCTCTCAAACTCCTTGAAGTTCATGGAGGATTGGTTGCCTTCCTTGCCAGCGTACCTCTGGAAGACAGTGATGAACTTCTCCATGGCCCTCTCCATTTCTGTGGGGGTACACTGATTCTTCTGAGCCTAGAAGAAAACAAACAAATGAAATGCACCAGCCATACTCATGAACATGTGCACATACACTTTATGACCAGAAGTATAGGAACACCCCTCCAAATGACGGTGGTGGTGGTGGTTCCAGTGTACAAAACCAGATCCATAAACACTTGGGTTTGACCAGTTTGGTGTGGAGGAAATCTCGGCAGTCCCTCTATTATGCCCAGGCCCCTCTTTACAGCTTTTTATGATGAGCACATACGGTTAAAAAACTTTTACTTAAATGGTCACTGCACCCAGAAGTAGTAATCCAGGTTTTGGTAGATGCTGGAGTGTCAAACCACATCTCACCATGTCTGTGCAGAGTTCATGGGTCCACGCACCTGCTGTGCCCATTATGAAGGGTTCCCACCATCCCTATGCTGAGTTCCTGGGTCTGTACCCATTATATGGGATTCCCACCATCCCTACATTGAACTCCTGACTCTGTACAGCTGCTGTGCCCATTATGAGGGGTTCCCACTATCCCTGTACGGAGTTCCTGGGTCTGCACACCTGCCATGCCCATTATGAGGGGTTCCCATCCTCCCTGTCCTAAAGTTCCCATCTGTATACCTGCTTTGCCCATTATGAGGGCTTCCCATCCTCCCTGTCCTAAAGTTCCCATCTGTATACCTGCTTTGCCCATTATGAGGAGTTCCCATCTGCACACCTGTCGTGCTTAGTAAACGGGGCTCCCACCATCGCTGATGTATTTTTTCTTTTACTACAGGATTATGGAGTATGTAATGGGAAGAGCTGGAACACCCTGAGGTGGGAGGGAACAGAGGGAAGAACTGTAATTTGGGGACCTGGCTGGTGGAATGCTAGATGAAGACTTAGCTTGTGCCTCAGCCCAGGGGTTTTAGGGTTTTTTATCCAGTTTTCCTGGATAAATGATGCTGATTGTATGGAAGATGGATTGATGCATGGATCAATGGATCGATGTATGGATGGATGGTGGATGGAAGGTGGATAAATGGATGCATGCATGAATGGAGGGTGGATAAATGGATGCATGCATGAATGGATGGAGGGTGGATAAATGATAATTGGATGGATGAATGGTGGATGATGGATACATGCATAGATGGAGGAGGAGTGATCAGACGGATGGAGGATGAGTGATCAGACGGATGGAGGATGAGTGATCAGACGGATGGAGGATGAGTGATCAGACGGATGGAGGATGAGTGATCAGACGGATGGAGGATGAATGGTGAGAATGATTGGATGGATGGATGGCGGATGAATATGATTGGATGGCTGAATGGTGTCTTTTGCACATTAAGTATTGGTCCTCCAATCATTGGGAGATGGAGCACAGTTACAGTAATGGTGTCTCCCCAAAAAGTTTGGGGGGCCCCCTACCCTCTTTAAGTCTGGTTAGTGAAGATGGAATTTGTCATCCGTTAACAGCAGCGGATGGAAAGTCCACAGCACGGCAAAGCAACCTGCACACCCCTCCATAATCCATGGATTCCGGAATGTCAGGTCGCACGTACAAGCAAGGACGCGCCTAAATGCGGACAGACTCGTCCCTGCAGACGTTCGGGGTGGGCGTTGGCTCGGGATGGGGAGGCAATGACCGCCGTCTTGTAAAAACACAATAGATGGAATTACAGCACAGGGAGAGTCTTCAGCCCATTCCACACACCATACCGATCCTATACCCAGGCCAACCAGAGATTAGGCATCTGCTGTTCCAGAGCTTTCCGACCAGCAACTCATAGGACCACGGGGGATGAAATAGTGGTCTTGATACTTCTATAAAAAGACTTATATAAAGAGAACCTGTCAGTCATACTGCAAGAACTCTGACCAAGAACTTTACCCCAGTTGAAAAAAAAAAAGTCTGCGGGAGAGATTGGCTGTTCACCAATAAATGGACTTGTAGCTGCAGCTGACCTTTAAATTTGCGTAAATCAAGAACACCGGCAAATAGGGATGCACCGATACCACGTTTTCCAGACCGAGTGCCAATACTTTACCTCAAGTACTTGGTGATGCAAATTACCGATACCTTTTTCTTTTTTAGTGTCAAGTGACAATTTTTGTAAAACAATGCAGACTAATGATTTTAGGTCAGTGGCGGAGCGCCAGGGCCCGGTCCCAGCTGCAACCTCTGCGACCCCGGTAGTTCTGCCACTGACTCAAAGCTACAGAGGGACTACAAATCACAGCAATACATTATAAAGCAATGCAGAATACCATAAGCTATAGAGAACTACAAATTTCAGTAATGCATTATCCAGCAATGCCGACTAGCAACCGGCTATAGAGGACTACAAATCTCAGCGATACATTATACAGCAACGCAGAATACCATCAGCTATAGGAGGACTACAAATCCCAGCGGTATATTTTACAGCAATGCCAAACGGCAACTGGCTATAGAGGACTACGAATCCCAGCAACACATACAGCAATGCAGAATATATAAAATCTACAGTGTGCTGCTCTGGGGTGCCGGCCTAATGTCTCCATCGGAGGATCTCAGGAGGGCTGTGAAGGGTCTCACCATGGGTCTGAAGGGTCTCATGGGCAGGAGTGGGCAGCGAGGTTCCCCAGGAAGGAGGAAATGTGCGGCCAGCGCTGTAAATAGGCACTGCGTGGTTAACAGGAAGGCTGCAGGGGTCCCCAGCAAGCGTGGGACCTCAGACAGCCGCTTCCGTTTAAAAATTTAAAGTGGAGATGGAAGCAGAATTGGGCATTCCCGGAAAATTTCGATGGCAGTGAAATCAATTTAGCTGAATTCCCTCCATTTAACTCTTTGCCCCGCCCACCCCCTATACACACACACACACACACACACACTTTGTCGAATATTTCCCTGAAGGGCAGCAAAACTCAACATGACGAAACCTGTTATTTTTAATGGTGCCCTTCAGCGTTGTGTTGCCTGTACATGGACCCTTGAAAAATAAAATAATTTTTCGGCAGAAATTAAGGATTTCGGCCCCCATAGACTGCAAAGAGTCTAAAAAAAAAAAAACGCACAATCTTTACGCAATTTTGCACCCAACAGCCTAGTAACTAGCTTTCCATTGGCCAAAAAAAAAAAAATGCACAAAAACATGTTAAAAAATTATAATAATATCGCCAGCTAATAGAGGCAACAATAGAATCTGTCCACGCCATAAGCAGTTGTACAACACCGAGCGTTCAGTGCACCTAGTGCAGGGCAGTGCGCTGGCGCGTTGCCATTCATTTTAATGGTACCCCAATGCACCTCCTGGCCGCCAAGTGCTGTACTTTTTTTCTTCGCACGGCATCGCGGCACCGGTGTTCTATTGAAAGCTCCAACTCATCGAGATCTCCAACTACCTCACTTCCACTGCTCAGAAAGACTGGAGCTCTGTACAGTTGCGGTGCGCATGCGCGCATAGCGCTTTCAGAATAGTCGTTGAGTTTGCCACCTGCTGAATATTGTTAAAATGCAGCTGTACAGACCCCGGTCAGTCTTTGTGTTTTGCAGTCTAATGCCGTCTGGTCGAAATCTCCAACTTGCAAGTACCCGGCAGTGAGGTAGTTGGAGATTAACGAGTTGGAGCTTTCCATAGAACACCGGCAATGCTCGGCGCCTAGGAGGTACGTTGGGGTGCCAGTCAAGTGAACGGTAACGCAATGCACCAGCACATGGTTCCGCATGCTAGGTGCCCTAAACGCACAGCATTGTGCAATAAGCACAGCGCTTATGGTATGAGCCGGCCCTAAAGGGTTACAAAAACTCACTCTGGGTTTACTGCCGCCATTAAAACTGCCTGCGGCTCATTCCATGACGTTTCTTTAGCTCGGCAGGTTGAAAGCAATGCAGCGCTACAACCAGAGGCCCCCCCAGCAATGTCTCTGCACACCAGACATAGGGGCCCCTCCGGGTATATCTTTCCCTCTGTGTACCGGGCCCCATATCGGGCAGCCTGTAAGAGCCCTGCCACTGTCCTCTATGCTGTGTGGATTCTTTTTATGGAAAAACGAGACTCTCTTTACTGAGCCTGCATTATTCTTCCCTGCCCCTTCTTCCTGAACTCTGCGGGCCGTCCAGATAAATGGATGACGTTAAGAGTCCAGCTCTCCAACAAAGGAATCGGGTCACCGGGCCCGCCAAATCACAAAAAAAATTGCACTTTTATTGAAAAGAAATGTGTTATTAGCAGAGTTTGTAATTCGCGGCTTCAGACGCGCCAGCGCTCACAGGGATCAGGAAGAGGTCAGTGAGTCAGGCCGAGGTTTTTTTTTTGGGAATGGCGCAACTGCAGGCCAGGAACCCGCCAACGTTCGCCCATTCCGCGGGGAGAATGAGTCACGGGAAGCAGATGATGGCGCTGAACAAATATTTCTCTAGAAACAACAAATTCCATTGAAGTTTAACCTCTTCACTGCTGAAGGAAGCGGTGTCAAACCTCTCGGGGGGGGGGCATTAAAGTTTTTTTAGATTTGTATTACACATTTGAATGTGATCTGATTAAAGGTGTGTGTGTATTCTCTCCATCTACCTATAGGTCTATATGTATCTATATACATATACACACACACACACACACACACACACACACACACACACACACACACATACACACACACACACACATGTATGTGTACGTATATCCTTTATATCCATTCAGTATTCATTGTCTGCGCTTTGCTGTTCCTCCCTGTCTATGCTGCTCCACTCCCAACTAGCTGAAAGCAGTTGGCTTGCCCTGCCGCGGATTGATCTCAGCAGCATGAAAATATGAACAGCAAAGGCAGTGAAAGTGTTGGCTGAGGCCCTGGTGGCAATTCAGCTCCCTCTGCGGTGCGTTGGTCTTTACTGTACAATGCATTGGGGTGCCATTCACAATGCAAGGCTGGGCAACGCACACACAGAGCAGGCGAGTTGCTATGCGCTGCAGCAACGCCCCAGGTGACAATGCAGACGCCGACAGCGACAACAATCAGCAGGCCTGACATCCGATTACACAAGTTGGTTTTTAGATTAGC